TACTATGGCCCTATGACTATGATATCGATGCCTGTCCTGCTTCCAGTCCTACGCGCCAACCATCAGCTATCAGCATCAGCATCAGCAACAACCGACAAATGCGGCGAACCAAGATGGCTGCTGCTGCTGCTGCCGCCGCAGTCAAAGCCACCGTCGTTCGCTTGCTCCTGCCTTCTTTTCCTTCACTCGTACGTCACTCCGTGCTGCTTCGTTTGGCCGCTGGAGCGACCGCTACAAGATCGTTCTGGTCGTCGTCTGTCTATAATAGCAGTAGCTGTCGTAACAGCAGTAATGGCAGTAGCACTTATTGAATTGGTCGTCGCGCGTTAGCCGTCTAGCCTGTTGGACTACGTCGGTTGGTTCGTTTGTCGGTCGCAACACTACCTTCCTTTTAACGTTATGTTGATGCTACTGCCGCCCGGTTTTCGTTTTTGTCCCCATTTGGCCCAACAGCGTCGGTAGCAGCACCGCCATCACTATGAGCGTGACTAGAACAACAGAACGGTGGATGCTGGCTGCCGTCGTCGTTGTCCTCGTTGCCGCTATGGTCGCTACAGTCGCCATACTGTCAGTTATGCTAGTGCCGACGAGTGAACGCCCCGTCAGCTCAACTCGGCGAGCTTTGCTGCCGCTACTGCTGCTGCTGCTGATACTCCAGACGCTCACAACTGGTACAACGAACAAACAAGTGACCCCCTGCCTGTTTCGTTGGTTAAAGGTTCCATCGATCGACGGTAACTGTAGCACTGACGGCAGGAATTGCACGTAGGCAGACGTCTGTCCGTGCTCTCATTTGTCACTTTCCCTAGTCGTCATGAGCCCCATGGACCTCGCTGACAACTATAGTTCGGTCATACTCACAGTCGGTCCGAATACAAGACCTTGCACACATCATGTATGTCTGTGTGTATTTGTATATGCACGCATGTAGGGAAACGAAAAAAAAGAGGCAGGTAAAGCGAGACGAGCATTTACACATTTGAGACTTCATCTATACCTTGCTAATCTATGCAGCCTTCACCTTAGTCCTGGAACAGGCCACGGTCATCAGAAACGTCACGAAATAATGATTGCCCATAGAGCATAACTCGTAAGCAGCGGCCCATAGGTTGAAAGGATAATGCGAAAGCTGCTGTTGCTGATATTCGTGTTTATCGCGATGGTGAGATCGACAACGGAGCCACAACGACGAAACGAAATAAACAACCAGTTATACATTTTTCCTGGCCTGCCCTCGAATACGAATCTTTTTGGACGCCAATGATGCAACTCCTGCTGCCGAATGGGAGTTACGAGGTACGCGCACTCGACCTCGTAGTCTCGCAAGGGGTCATTGTGGCTGACGGTAACTTGAAAAGCACCAGAATCAAGATACAACAGTAGCAGGCGACACCCATCCCATCTGTCGCCGTGATCAACTGCTTCTGGTGTTGCTTTATGGGTTAATGATAACTAGCTGTTAGGCCTGTTAATTTTCCAGAAAGTCGGTCTTATATGTTGGCCATGTAGTTCTCTTCAGCTAAGACCTCAACCAGTTACAGCGATGGCGGCGACGAACAGCTACCAAAACACAGAGTGTCGCAGAGAAAATCAAGCAATGTTGTCATTCGACAATTCATTTTAGAGTAAATCTGTCTGAGTTTTTCTTTATCTATTTTTCCACCCCATATTCCCCAACCTCTTGCATACATACACACAACCAGATGTCATAAGTAAAAAATTCGTTGCTGAATCGTAGTTTATTCAATAGAAACAGGTGGCTGATAAGTAAACGCATTAGGGGTAAAAACATCCACAAAGGCATACTGAACTGTGGTTGGGCAGCCGGTAGGTATCTGTGGTTGATCTGAAAAGGCGAGAAATTGAATTCGGTAATCAGTTGTTACAACCGACAGACAAAAACAGAAAAATCGGTCAACCAAAGCCTTGGGTCACGGTAAGATGGCCATCTGTTTTTGTGTCCAAGTCAATATTTGTTTGACTGACCTTTTTTTACTATACACACCGATGTAAAAGTAAAAAGAAGACCCTTGTCTACTCAACGTTTAACAATGTTCGTTTATTAATGTACTTATACGTGAAAATATATATATATATATATATATATATATATAGTATATATATATATATATATATATATATACTATGCTTGGTTATTTATCTGCATCAGAGCTTAAAGCTGCTGCCACGGACGTCATCGTTGTTGTTTTGGTGTGTACTCGTATATACCCCGCTGGTTAGATACCGCCAATTATGGTAATGACCTACTATTAAAATGGCGATGAAAATCGTGGGGAAAAATGACTCTTATAAAGCTTTCCATTTTATCCCTTAAATATTCGATGTGTTGCTGAAACGAGCCATGGGCAATTTAATTCTTGGTCTCTGAGGAAGACTCATGTGCACATTGTCCCTTCGTTATTCGGGTGTGCTCAGAACCGTTCACCCATCGTGACGTCATCCAACGCCTCCGCTCGCTAGTAAAGGGCAACAGCAACATCGACCATCATCGCCCATCAGGCAAAGCATCGGTGGAACAGTCTGTGCCTCCAGGATCTTCCAGGAGCTGCTGGACTGAGCCGAACGGGGCCGATACAAGTCGTTGATTGAACTCCATTCTTTGTCGTACCACACGAGTACAGTATATTATTCGTTCTCTATATATGTATATATATATATATATATATATAGACAGCTCCATCGACAACAATATAGTAGCCTAGAGAATATAATATATGGTTAAAGTTTCGATCTGTATGTGTCCAAAGGCACATCAGAAAGGTGGTTTACTAACATTACTGATTTGTTACAGTTATGATAGAATAATGCCAGCATTTCAGTTTAGCTCAGATATACTTTTTTTTCTTTATTTATAAGCAAGATATTTCAGTGATGTGTATCCATACATGCGCATTACTGGTTAGCATTCTCTCAACAGAGACGTTATTCAGAGAACAGTGCGAACTGATGCTCTACAAATGTTGTAGGTTTAATTTACATAAATAAGTAGTTTGGAATTTCGAACAATGGAGGCTTTCGGGGTTCGGCCAGTAGATATTGAATAGAAATGTAATCATCGACATGACTATTTCCGATAAAAGGTACTATTAACTTACCCCCAAAGATGGAATGAGCTTTCAACCACGTGCTACAGTAGCTGATCGACAAATACCAACATCCAACTAACTACAAACATCTATCAAACAGGGTACACAGGATCGTATGGCAGCTACTGAAAGTACAGATGTAGCTGCGTATTCAACAATTTTCGCCCAGTTCCTTAATTTACCTGACTAAAACTGCCTAGTCAGCCTAGTAAGTTCAGTTGGTATTCAATACGTTTTGTCGCTGTTGTTGATAGATTCATCCTGACTTGCTGACCCGGACGCGTGCTGTGATAACACCGATATGAGCAGCACCTAGCTGGGTTGTGTGCTGCTGTCTACAACACAGATGGAGAGTTTCCTGACCCTTTCAGGAGGGGCCAGCCGCTCGACGCGACAATGCCAAAACGTCCAGGTCATATGATGATAAAGACACCGGTGCGATACAATTACACTAGTAGATTTTTTGTTGTCTAGGGGTCTGCTAATAATGACGATGCATGCACAATACAGCCGCTGCAACAAAGGAATGCGTGCCTGAATACATACAAACCCGCCATAGAACGCTTGCCATTGGGCCAGTTCGGTGGACAAGCTTGCCCACTACAAATAACAACAACAAATGATAAACAATGACAGTAGCTCAAATCGTAGGAACCGCATTTGTACTCTCATTTAGTATCAGTAGTAATTATAAGATTTGATTGTCACTATCAGAATTATCAGCAACAACAAAGGCAGCAGCAGTGCTACCACATGGACTACACTATCATTAGGCCGCATGCTCCAGCAGCAGCGGCAAGACACCACAGCACAGCGCCAAAAGCAGCACTATCGAATAAAAAGGAATAATCTGTTTACAACGACAGCTACAGCGACAGCAGCACCAGCAGCTGCAAGACAAGATGGCTACAAGAGGTAGCACCAACGGCTGCATCTTGCACCGTCTGCTGGCATCACATCTGGAACGATACCCACAGCAACAGTAGCGGCTTTAACGGGAGCGGCTCATCCATCCATTCGTTAATTCATCCATCCGTTATGGTTGCTGCTGTGGCTGAAGGCATTGAAAGCCCGTCAAAACTGTGATGATTATGCTGCGGCTGGTGCTGCTGCTGCTGCTGCTGCTGTGGCCGTCGATTGATTTGTCGGTCGACGGAACATTTGCGCTGCAGGTCAGTGCCCGTTGCAATCCTGTGAAAATGAAACCGTGTGCTCGTTTAGCCCCGTGCACGGCTGTGTGTGCGTGTCTGTGTGCATGTAGTTAAACGTAAGAGTATCATAAAATTGTATACTGCTGCTATGGGGACTTAACTGCTTTTGTGACATATGAAGGAAAGAAGGAAGGAGCATAAAGAGAGCTTCGGGAGCGGGAGAGCGATTCTCGAACGTACGACACCTACCGACGAGAAAAACAAGCAAAACTGCTACTACTGTTATCGGCATATTGTACTGATCAAATAAACCAACTACGGTTCATGCTATCGAGTAGTAGTATGAGAACCAGGAAAACGGTGATGAGACGATGCTGCTAATCAACGCCAGCCTCAGCTGCCGCTGTTGCTTCTATAATAAGCAACTACGCCAGCTGTAGTTACAACCTTAAAAGCTAAATGAGTAAGCCTTATACATATGGCTGACACAACATGTCAATAACGTTTTCCTTGTTGGTTGGCATCATTTTACCGATGGTGGGGACGGAAATCAAGGAGAGGCTTTCCTAGTCCATATCAATTTTGGAACGGCCAAAAATATATCAATGTTAGGCGGTATTATGCAACTTGATAAGGATAACAAAAAATTACAAGTAGCTACATAAACAGGACGTTCATACTGAATATATACATATATATATATATATATATATACATACATGTGCGTGCGTGTACACGTGCAACGTCGCTCGTGTTATCTTACTTATTTTGATTGTAAATTTCCTATTTTATCAAACACCTAGGTGTTCTTCGCTGCAATAACGTTAATTTCATGGTATGTATATATGCATGCAATAACGACATTTACACAGCACTTGAATCTTGAATGCGTGGGCCTTAAATTGCGGAAAAGAAGCGACTGTGAGAAAATGGTTGACTGCATGCTCCGCTCACTTGGCTCAACGGCGCCAGCGAGGACGACTAGCCCTAACTAGATAGTGGCCTAGTGGTGGTTCGCTGTCCCTGCTGCACCTTCTAGAATAAAGATGGCTTCCAGAGCGGAGTGCTGTGATGTTATTAGCAAAAGCTGTCGTCTGCTTTCGGTAACCGCCGCTATTATTGATGCTGCTTCTGTTATAAAGTTGCTGCTGGTGATGCTGTGGCGGATACTTAGCAATTGCTGCTGCGGAAACTCAATAGTTGAAGGGTGGATGAGGTCGCCACCCTCGCCAATGTTCCCCTTTCCAATATGAGCTCGTTGCCGATTGGCTGGAATGGTGTGACGTCACAATGGCCATATAAGGGCGATCCGAAAGGGCGAGCACGCACTTTGTGTGTTAGCTGAGGCAGGTCATGTTGAGCAGCTATAGCCAGAGTGGATCAGAATCTGAGTATCGTTTAACGAACGGTTTGATCCCGGCTAGGGTGAAGCGCCTCGGCTATTGGCAAGCGCAACAAGAACAGTTACTAAGCACTCATCTCAACTGCGGCGGCAAACAGAGAACGTTTTGTAGCGTGCGAGTGTGTGGTGTGAAACCTCGTCGACGAACGTACGGCCAAGACGGCCTGAGTCAATTGTGTCACCACGTTCAGGGCTACATCTAACCTCGTCATAAACAACAGCATCGTCGTGGTGGTGGTGATGGTGCTGTGGCTGGTGGTAACTGGCTGAGAGAGAAACAAGTACTGCAGATACTAGGACAACTTGACAGTGAACAGTTGACCAAAGCGAAACTTGTATGTCAATTGTTTTGCGTTTGTTGCGGCAGAACGAAATCGAAACAACGGTTAATAGTGCTATTGCTTTCAGAAAGAGTTTGTTTTGCTTATACCGTAATCGGTGAATTGATTACTATTGGGGTTCGTGCAAACGGCAGTGAAGAACGTCAGATCGAGAGACTCTCCGTGAAACTTTCATAGACGAATTGGATAAAAGGCAGGGACCCCGTCTCGAATTTGTTGCTTGTTCAGCGACACACATGTCGACTGCTGCTACATCGTGCGCTGTTGTAGGGCATTTCGTCACAAACATTTTGGAAACTTCGACCACAACAACATCAACACCGGGAGACGCGTCAACACGACCGCGAAGAAAAACGCCGACCAACGTAAAATTGACTGCCCCAGCAACGGTAGAATCACGGACAGTCGTTTTCAATCTAGTGACATCAACGACGGCAGCAGTGGTAGTGGTGCCTAGTGAAAAGCGTCAGTCAAAAGCTGTGCGGACTTCGCGCCTTGCCGACGCTCTAATGCACGACAGCTGTTCGACATTGGTCAGGTGATTTGTTGTAGGTACCCCATTTCCCCCGTACTACTACTACTACGACGTTCTTTGAACATTGTCACTCATTAATTCCCCCGTTTATCGGTGAAGAACAGACACGAACACGATTGATTGATTGACTGATTGATTGACTGGCTGAAAGATAATAAAAAAAAACGAGCGAGTCAACATAAAATGGGAACGCGTGAATTATACCATAATACGTAGGCTCGTCGTACCTTTGTATATCTGTAGATATCAATCTCTATATCATCTAAGGCTGAATTAGTCAGCCATACATGAAGCTCGACATCTTCAGCAGCAACAAGAACAACGACGGCAACATTTATTCAATCAACAAAGGCACCAAAATCTACAATAATATCAGCCACATTAACAGCAGCAGCGACACGAACGGATTAAACAACAACAATCAGAATCTCATCAACGATTCCTGCAAAAGACGGCGACTACAGTCAGCCCAGCAAGTGTAACCATGCCTGTGCCTGTTTCGGTACCGTGTAGTAATAATTATAAAAGTAACCATAATAATAACGATAATATGCCCACCTCTCAACAACATTCAGCACAATTCCTACCACCGTCTTCCGTACACTTTCGGCGTCGTGCCCGCCGGGGCAAAAAGCGAAGGTGCCACGAACCCATGATGTCCACCCAATCCCAGTCGCTACCTCAAACGACGACTGCGCATCATCGGGGCGGTGGCGGCACTAGGAATGGTAATCATCCATTGAAGAAACGATGCATACAAATTCGTCCAGCTGACGTGCCCCAAGCACCAGCCAACTTCACCCAATTCATTATCGACGACCACTTCGGTTCGTGTCCTGGTTTGTACAAGAGCTTTGAGACACCGCCAGTGGGTGGGCCCGATTCGTCCTCTGACTCAGAGGCGCCTCACTCGAGTGTCAACTACGATAGTGAATCGAGTGTCGATGCGCCACTTGACTACTCAGATATGGTGGCCTTCTATGAAAAGGACTTCGAGGAGGTCTACTCGGACGCGCGCGCCGCCGAGGTGATCGAGTTGCCCCGTGAGCAGCTAGTGGCAATGTACGGTGATCTGGAGAAGCGGGCTGCCGAGTTAAGCAGTGAACTGAGCGTATACTCGCCACAGCATCTACTCGATCTACTGCAGCAGAGATTACTTCAATTGCAAGAAGAGAATCGACAGTTGCGTGCGAAAAATCGTGCACTTCGCTACGCCCATAGTGAGCATAGTGATGATAGTCAGGGCTCGGTTGATTCAGAAACAGACTCGTCCTCGACGTCATCCGACTCTTCGGAGTCATCAGATTCTTCAGATGAGGACGCCAGCGGAGGCGTTCAGAACGACAATGGTGCAGCAGTAGCCTGCAGTAGAGGTAGGCGCAGCGGGCCTGAGATCGGAGAGGGTGTCCATGCCGTTGTGGAACAGCTGCGACATGGCCAAGTGGCTCCGGACTGCGTCGATGACGTCAACGATAACGCCATGTTCCAGCTGGATTCGTCCAGTCGTTTCAGCGGCGGCGATGACGGTAATGATGATAATAACTCAGTGCACGACGAGCGTGAGGAAGGCGGCAGCAGCGCCAGAAGTAGTTATTGTCAAAGGCGTGGGCTGCATTGTAGCTTCAACAACGACGGCTCCTCGTCCACCCTCGATTTTCGGAGCTTCCAGGATGCATTGTTTAGTCAATCGCATTCACCAACGACCAGGAGGACGACGTCACCATCAGGAAGCATGGCAACAACAGCTGCAGCAACATCATCAAGAAGTCAAATTGACTTTTTTGGCGAGGATCAGAATAGGCGAACACCAGCGGGATTGGCAGCGTCGCGGGTTGCGCCGCAAGGTCGGCGTTACTTCTCCAACGATGTGGACGTCAATGCGGACGTCGACGACAAGCGTGATGACGATGATGATGGTGACGAAGCCCCTATGCGAGTATTTAAAGCCGGGCAACTGCTACAGGACCGGAGACAACAGCAGCACGAACAGGAGGTTCAGGTGACATCGTCATGCAAGACGCCTGTTTCGGACTCGTCTCCACCTTACGGTGAGATTGAAGCGATGGGTTAGAGAGCTACTACAGTACTACCTACAAAAACCTATCTACTACAAATTACTACCAAACTCTTATGCCCCTTCTCTCTCTCTCTCTCTCTCTCTCTCTCCTTGTTAAAAAACACTAGACATCTCCATTAGTAGGTGGTAGGGTTAGAAGCGTTCGACCAATCGACTAGGACAGTTCTGTGTCTGGTAGTTGTCGAATGCGACCACCACCACTGGAATGGAGTTCGAAGAAAATAAAATGGTGGTTTGAGGTGGGAGCAGAGAAAGAAAGGGAACTTCTTGATTTGTCGCGAAAGTCGACAGAGTCTAATGGAGCGTTGGTATTGGCGCGAAATTTCAGTATAAGCAGAACAGTGGTTTTGCTAAAGCGCGAGTGACTGCGCAGGCAGGTCGGCAGACGAGGAGGTGGAATGTGCCGGATTAAGGTTAACGAAAAAACATTTGCAGTGGTAAACGAAAAACGAGAATGGAAAGGACGCGGTGTGGCGTCTCCTGGTTTTTCGTTAATCTGCATTTTATCCATCCAACTCAGTTACGGTACCAGGCGTTAAGCATGGGGTTATAGTCTGCGTGTAACGGGCCACGACCGTCATGACCTACCTCCTTCCCAATGCAGAGGTACGTACAGCTCTGCTGCAGCCGCCCGTAGTTTGGACGGTGGCTATATAGCCTCGCTGCCGCTCCTTCCCTTCACGACTCTCCGGCCACGTAGTAATAACATGTACATAATTCTAGTCATTGCCGCCCGGCAACAGGGGCGCCCTCTAAGGAGGGGACGTTTCCCTCTAGTTCCAGCCGGAAAGCTGTGTTCGGCCCCGACTTGTTCGTTAGGGGCACAACTCATCCGTACCTCTTCACACGCAACACTTCATGAAGCAGCTGAAGGACACACACTTCGAATCGAGAGAAATTATATAACAATAATGGTATAGCTAATAGTAGTAATAATATTCATCATCGTCATCATCATCGCAAAATTCGGACCCAAACCTGAAAAGAGAAAAAGAGATTAACATTAGGGAGATTAAATAGACTATGGCCATGTCCTCACCACGGTCTTCCTTGTTCCTCGTCAGAAGCGCTTAGAAACGAACGGAGCCCAAATATCAGCTCTCTTGAATGAAACTGAACGTACAGAAGGGAAAAACCTACTTCAGGCTCGATAGCGCTCGTTTCTTTAAAAGATCGGCAAAATATAAATAGATGCGCATTGCGCCCTTATCGCTGTTCGTCATATATTATATACATATTCATCTATATAGAGCATATATAGATATCATTTGTTATAAACAAACGCAAGGAACGGAACATAAGTCATGTTTCATCACGTCATATTTCTGCTGAATCATATACGCACATACATACACGCAAACACACAGAGACAAACCTAAATAGACAAAGACATCTGGGCGCACGGCCTTCTATTATAAACTGAAAACGTTCTATAATGCGTTATATATATATATGTATGTATATGTATATATATATATATATATATATATATATATATATATATAAATATATATATGTGTATGTATGTATATGTATATGTGTATATATATA